TATCACATATGTGAAAGTATGGAAATAATGAAGACGTAAAAGGAGGAAAATAGCACGTTAGGAGAGCAATGAACTATTCCTGGTTATTCTGAAATAGCCTCTTAGAGATTAACAAAGCAATTGCATTGAGCTAAACATTAACATTTTTGTGCAGCCACCAGATGATGGTGTTTAAATAACAGGCTATGGAATTGGATCGGCCAGTAAATGGATGATGGATTCAATATACAGACAAAGCTATGCAAGAATAGGATTGAATTACATATGGAGTTAACAAGTATATAGATACATCACAGCACAAATAAGGTTTTGTTTGTGCGGAAAGAGTGAATGAATGAACTACTGCCACTTATTCACCTGATGGTGATCTTTCAACCACATTTGGCATTCTATATCATTTGACTAATTCAGGCGCTGTTGTTTGCAGAGTATTTGTATTTAACAACTAACAAGCTTGGAACATTTTGGTGAAGGTTATGAATGTGGACTGTGTGACAAAGGTGTGTGTATGGCTGGCAATTAGAGGTGCACCGAAATGACATTTTGTAAACCAAAAATAAAAAAAAGCCAAAACTGAAAATTATTTTTTTTCTAACCTTTTTAAATGATTTTATTTTTTATAAACATTTACATTTTATTGATTTATTTTTATCAAATATTTTTTACTTTACTTTTAGAGTCTTCGGGAAAATATTAGGGATCTAAACAGACCCCTGATAATTCCCCTTTTCAAATAGAAAAAGAGATTGAGGACACAGAGTCCTCAATCTCTTTTTCTGAAGCCCGTTATCAATGAACAGTAAACTTCTATACTGTACTGAGTGTTCCTGTTAATTGATAAGTTGTGGACATAATATGTTTACTGTAACCACAACCATGAATGAACAGGAGGTGATGTAGATCACTCCCCATTCATTCATAATTAGGGACACAGTAAACATACTACCGGTATGTGCTTAATTATTTACAAACGCTCTGCGATCACTGAGTGCTTGTACCCGCTTCTCCGTCCTGACTCGCTGTCACAGGAGGCTGAGAGGGCAGTGAGGGGAGAAGAGCTTGGTCTCCTGTGACAGTTGACACCTACCCCGCACGGCCTCTTGTGACAGCTGTCCCTGCCCACACACCGCCGCTCTCCTGATCTGTCACAGGAGGTTGAGCGGGGTGGTACGGGAGGAGAGCTCGGTCTCCTGTGACACAGCGACCGCTCACATCGCTCGGCCTTCTGTTTCTCTCCTCCCCGATGGACACTGCGCTGCGTCAGAGGGGAGAAACCAGGAATGCGCCACAATTTCGGCCAAAAGTGTCATCTTCGCCCGATATGCTTCAGTGGTCGAAATTACGGTGCATCCCTACTGGCAATGTTGTCAACATGTTTTTAATTGGGAATTTAAGCGATGTGTGAGGGTTATAAGCGTTGAATCATTTTAGTAATGAATCAAATGTTTGTAAATGAATAAAGATATTTTTGATTCTGGTTAATGGGCTTCCGTTGGTCATTTAATGTGGCTCCTTTCACTGTGTTTGTTCCTTACAAAGCCGTGTGATTTGTGGTTTAACTGAAAAGAATGAAAATGAATGCAGCCACCACAGCTAAGGGCTGCTAAGTTACAATACATTTCTGTTTTTGGGTTCAGATACGTTTAAAACCACAAGCACACACCTATGACTTTTCCCCATGAGCTGGCTGTATCAAAATGACAAATGCAGTCATTTAGACGTTGGAGGAAATGTGTTGTGTAGTATAACTTTGCATTAGCTAAATAGTGCATTTTAGAAGGACAAGTGAGAAGGAAAGAGAAACAGAAGATTCAAATGAGGGTCAGTCCCTTGAAATAAGGGACATTTAGGAGGTATCACAATACAGCAGCACCAGAAAGGCAAACAGCAGCTTCACTTTCAGTTCAATAAGTTTTATTGAGGTTTTAATAAAGTTAAATACAAAGAGTACCGAGAAGAGCCCAATGTAGCAAATTCCATTGACAAATATACAATACACAATGCATTCCTATTTAATGTAGGTATGCACAGTCCCAATGAGCTAGGACATGTGACTACTGTGAGAGACAATGTAAGCAAAGATAAAGGTGGGGTAGGGGTTGGAAAGGGTATGCAATCAGGGGCCCATCTGAGTTCTCTGAACCAGCTTGGAGGATTTTCCGTAGGCTTTAAACTAGAACTGAAGCCATTTTTTTTAGTTTTGGATAGAGTAAGGGAGGGTTATAACTAGGGATGCACCAATACTAGTATCGGTATCAGTGCCGATACCGAGTATTTGGGCGAGTACTCGTACTTGCCCAAATGCTCCGATACTGAAACTTCCGGTCAGAGGAAGATTTCCAGTCACCGGCAGTGCCGTAGGGGAACGTGGAGGCGGCTTCCTGGGCAATCAGGAAGCCGGGTGGCGAGTAATGACCAGCCCCACACGTTCCATATTGGCCGGGAAGCCGGCTCCATGCTGAATGGCTGGGAAGATGGCTTTCCAGCCAATCAGCATGGAGCAGGCTTTCCTGCGGGTTATTATTCGCAGCCCAGCTTCCTGATTGCCTGGGAAGCTGGCTCGATTCTGATTGGCCCGGCCAATCACAATCGTGGCAGCCAAACAACATGGAGCCTGCTTCCCGGGCAATCAGGTAGCTGGGCGGCATGTCATTAACCACCGCCCGGCTTCCTGATTGACCGGGAAGCCGGCTCCGTGCCAGCGGAAGCACCGGTATTGGTACTCGGTATCGGCGAGTACCAAAAGCAAAATATCAGTACTCGTACTCGATAATGAAAGACCGGTATCGGTGCATCCCTAGTTATGTCCTCTGTCAGTTTTTTACATCTGTGTCCCATTGGGGAAATTTTCCTTCACTACCTGTCTGATAGCCACAACACAAAGTGAGGGGAAATCCCTCCAAAGAGAGGTCAGCAGGGTCACCAGAACGAATGTCCCCATTAAAAGATTTCCCATCTATTCTGGTGACAACTCAAAATTTGGGATTTTCTTTCAGTAGCTGGCCATACACGAACAGATTTTCGTTCCGGTTTTCGGCGCCACCAAGATCCGTTGTTCGATTTTAGCTCAAATAGCCTATCATGCACAGACCAATGTTGTTTCGATTATCATTCGTTAACAATACTAACCCCCTGAATTTCAATGATCGACAGAACGGATTTTCATTTGCGCATGCGCCACGAGTCCATCAATTTTTATACGATTCAAAAAAAAGTTTTCCAGCCTCACCCTGAGAAAAGTCGTGCAGGAGTACAGTAAAAAAAATCGTTGGGTTCCCATCAACTGATCAATTATCATTCGAAAGACCATGTGAGGACAATTTCCGAATGATAATCGATAGGTGTATAGGCACCTTAACGGTCACCAGGACAAATAGAGAGGGTGAATCTCCCTAACGGGGACACAGACGGCAATGACACCTGACAGGTGTCCCGATCCCTCTCCTCTCTATCCAAACCTAAAAAAGAATAGTGGATTCCCATGTTTTTGCTATACTATGCTTGGCTGCAGTAAAGATGAATGCCATTACTTTAATCTGGAAGTATGTGATCGCTCTGGTCATGTACGGAGTAATGCCTCTACTGGGTCATCATTTAAATGTTGTTGGAAATACATACTACTGGTGTTCAAGCGAAGAGTGCACGCCACTGGGCATATCCACCAACTATGTCCACCAGCCTTACAGTGTAGCTGTACAAAACATTATTCTCAATACAATGAAGGAAATTCATCAAAACTGGAGCAGATTTGCATGGCAACCAATCAGCTTCTCTGTCTCATTTTCAAATCTTACCTGAGCAAACTGAAGAGAGATGCTGATTGGTTGCCATGGGCAACTGCTCCAGATTATCTCTGCTCCAGTTTTGATAAATTCCCCCCAATGTTCTGTGTCATCTCCCCTTGATGGTTGTTTTTTTTTGCTACCAGCAAGATCCTGGGTATAAAGTTGTATGTACATGGAACACATGTAACACCTGTGCCAATGTTCACATGCATATATAGACCTACTGGCTGATTCTCAGGGCTGACATGTCAATATAAACAATGTGTAGGCAGCGGCACTGCTGATCACACACTATTGGTATTTACATCTCCCCCTGAATGTATCTTCCATGCTGGGCACGGTACATGTGCAGAACCATCTGAGCCTTCAGCATCAGGCGAGGTCATTCTGCACATGTGCCGCCTCCACATGAATGACCCATTCAGGGGGAAGATGTAAACATCAATATTGTGTTATTACAGGCGGTGCCGCTGCCCACACATGGTTTACATTCACGTGTTGGTCCTGATCAGTGGCCAGTAGGGTCCATGTACGCCAGTGGTGGGCAACTCCGGTCTTCCAGCTGTGGTGAAACTACCTATCCCATCATGCATCTGCCTCTGAGAGTCATGGCTGTGTCTGTCAGAGCCCTGCAATACCTCATGGGACTTGTAGTTCCACAACAGCTGGAGGGCCAGAGTCACCTACCCCTGATGTACGCTGTACACATGCAAGCATTGTCACAAATGTTCACATGCAAGCATTGGCACAAATGTTCACATGCAAGCATTGGCACAAATGTTCACATGTGTACGGTTTAGGGTACAATACGATCCATAAGCGGGACTGCAAGTTTTGGTTTAGGAACCTGAACGTTCTGGACCAAAACGGAGCAATGTGTATGGGCCCATAGAGGACAATGGTGCTGTGTTCACATCTGTATGAATTATGGATCTGCAGGAAGGAAATTGTACGCCTGTGTGCATGAGTCATTGTAAAGTGTTCTGTCCATACCATCCCCATAGGGACATTCCCTCAGAATGACTTCTCCCCTCAGAAAGGATGACACTCTCTCTCCCCTCAGAAAGGATGCCATTCCCTCCCCACACAATAATGAGCACGGCCTCATCACACGGTCCCTCGGCCCTATCACACACGGTTCCTCGGCCTTATCATACACGGTCCCCCGGCCTTATGACACGGTCCCTCGGCCCTATGACACGGCCCTTATCGCAGGGTCGCTTCCTCTGGCTGGCTGTGAAGTTACCTGTATATGACACAAGCACAGAGCCGCTCCAACCATCCTTCTACCCTCATACACATTCCGGGTCTCGTCTCCTCCTAGGCCCCGGCCCGAGTATACGTCACACCTCAGCGCTCCTTGTAGAGCGTCGGCCGTATGAGCAGACATGTTTCCGGCCCTCAGACGAGGCCGGCCCCGGGCCCTGCACCTCCCATAAGGCGGTATGACGGAGACGTAGGCGTGTGCTGAGCCGTGCAGGTTCCCGGGCCCCCTTTTCTCCTCCCTCAGCCCTGCTCAGCGCTGTTGCTCTCCAGCCCGCGGTGATAATAAGATCCCAGGACACAAAATGGCGCACAGCTGTCGGTGGCGCTTCCCCGCCCGGCCCGGGACTGGCCGCAGGCTGGGGGCCCGGCACAGGGTGGCGGCGGTGGTGAGGGAGGATGGGATTGCTAATGCGACTGTTTCTGGATCCGGCGGGAGTCCTAGCGCTTCGCATGGAACCAATTTGGCCCCTGGGGGCCCCGGAATTTGTTTGGGGGTTGGACCTGGCTTTGATGCGGCGCTGCAAGTGTCAGTGGCCATCGGGAGTAACCTGAGGCGGTTCAGGGACGTGTCCGGAGGGAGCAGCGGAGAGGTGAGAGGGGTGGATGAGATGGCGGGGAGGGAGGCGTGTGCACCGGGATGTGTGTGTGTAAGTGACGGGAGAGGGGTGTGTGAGGATGGAGGAGAGGGGCGCAGGATGGGGACCTGTGTGAGGATGGAGTAGAGGGGAGCAGGATGGAGACCTGTGTGAGGAAGAGGAGAGGGGTGCAGGATGGAGACCTGTGTGAGGAAGAGGAGAGGGGTGCAGGATGGAGACCTGTGTGAGGAAGAGGAGAGGGGTGCAGGATGGAGACCTGTGTGAGGAAGAGGAGAGGGGTGCAGGATGGAGACCTGTGTGAGGAAGAGGAGAGGGGTGCAGGATGGAGACCTGTGTGAGGAAGAGGAGAGGGGTGCAGGATGGAGACGTGTGAGGAAGAGGAGAGGGGTGTGTGAGAGATGAGGGCATGTGTGCGGAACAGTAGTGGGGTGTATGGTGAAAGAGAGGGGGGTGTGAAGGATGAGGGCATGTGTGAGGAACAGTAGTGGGGTGTATGGTGGAGATGAGGGGTGGAGGATGGAGACATGGGTGAGGAAGAGGAGAGGGGTGTGTGAGAGATGAGGGCATGTGTGAGGAACAGTAGTGGGGTGTATGGTGGAGTTGAGGGGTGGAGGATGGAGACGTGTGAGAGATGATGTCATGTGTGAGGAACAGTAGTGGGGAGTATGGTGAAGGGGGCAGGATAGAGACATGTGAGACTGGAGGAGAGGGGTGTGTGAGAGATGAGGGCATGTGTGAGGAACAGTAGTGGGGTGTATGGTGGAGATGAGGGGTGGAGGATGGAGACATGGGTGAGGAAGAGGAGAGGGGTGTGTGAGAGATGAGGGCATGTGTGAGGAACAGTAGTGGGGTGTATGGTGGAGATGAGGGGTGGAGGATGGAGACATGGGTGAGGAAGAGGAGAGGGGTGTGTGAGAGATGAGGGCATGTGTGAGGAACAGTAGTGGGGTGTATGGTGGAGAGGGGTGTGTGAGGATGGAGGAGAGGGGTGCAGGATGGAGACATGTGTGGGGAATAGGAGAGGGGTGCAGGATGGAGACTTGTGAGAGATGAGGTCATGTGTGAGGAACAGGAGTGGGGTGCAGGATGGAGGAGAGGGGTGCAGGATGGAGACCTGTGTGAGGAAGAGGAG